ATGGACTCGATAAACGCCCTTATTCTTAATAAGGAAAGGAACGAGCGAGATCGATCAACTCAGTGAAATAGTTGCCCAACTATGGGGAGGAATTATTCGATACTGAGCGCCTCCCTATGATTGTTTTATTATCGATAATATGTTTGCAAATCATGGCAGTCACAGCTCTCGTTCATATTTTACTAGACGTGCCGGAAAAAAAGAACTACTAAAGAAGGAGCAGAAACTAAGATTTTCCTTTACATCACAATTGCGTCAATGTTAAAGCAGATCAATATTTCCCCTGTTATTTGCATCATATTAATACATTTATAAAATATCTGATATTGACTGAACAACACAACTATGATCTCATCTACCCCCCCCCCACAACAATGCATTTTGTATTTGAAAAAAAAAAAAAAAAAAAAAAATCCTATAACAATTAACCATTGCCATTGGCTGCATCGATGATTCAGTTTTTAATTGTTTACACCTCTTCCAGACATCGAAACTGATTAGATTAAAATGATTATTTATTGGCTGCCAACAATGGAAATGATCACCAAGACGTCTCATGGAAACTGTGTGTCAAAAAATTCTAAAGTGGGCTGTATACTACAAAGTTTACACAAATGCATTTTATTCGGGGACTTACTAAACAACCCGTGGAACTTTGTCAAATTAATATACCTAAGAATGTATTAAAATATTTTACTATATTATTTTACCCTATAGTTTGCCAGTGCATTGTAAGATTAATATTTTCAATTATTCCACAATTAATTTTTGCCTTCTCAAACCACTGTGTTCAAACATTTTCAATTTAATACTCGTATTGCACCCAAACTAAGCAAACAACAAAACATAAACAGCCAGGTAAATGACACATTGAGTGTTGTTTTTGTTTCTATACTAAAGGTGGCCATCAGACTTCATTGTAATCACATTGTGATAATCTTTAAATTGAAAAAGAATATTTTTTTTCGAAAATTTTACTATTTTGACCCGCAAGGTTTTCAAAAGAACACAATATATTTTTTCTCTATTGTTTCTCTTCGAGGAAGTAATCACGAAGATGAACTTTTGATCTTTCCAAAACGATGTGACGTCAAATTTTTTTTATAGTTTTATTTATTTTCCTATTTGTTGTTTTTGTTCAAAATTATCGCACTACTAACCGCGATTAGTTGTGGAGGCACTCCAATCAAAAACATATGACATTTTATTAATAGAAATAACATAATTTATTGTGATTATTTAGATTGTGTGTAAATTTAAAAAAAAAATCAATTATACAATTGTCATTGAGATTATGAATCATGTTATTGTTTTCCATAATCACAGCTCTATTTGGGAATTGTAAGGTATGTCAATGCTCGGTTCCAGAACCTGCAAGAATCTACGAGTTTTGCAATTGTTTTACCCTACGCTACATAGTGGAAAGGGTATTATCTTTGTGCATTTGTTTGTAACATGGAGAAGGGAGCGACATAGACCAATAGTTCCTTTTGATGATCTGAATAGAATCACATTCTGAGTCGATTTATGCACGTCCATCCGTCTGTTCGTCCGTTTGCCCATGTATTTTTTTTTTCCAAAAAATATTTGTTTCGCCCAAGGACGAACCCTATTAAAATTGGTAAGAATCGGTTCAAATTTAGATATAGCTCCCATATATCTTCCACCGAATTCGGATTAATTGTGAACCAAATGACCAATAATAAATGACCTGCATTTTGGCACATCCGACTGAATTCAGTATAGAAGCAAGTGCATCGAAGATTGGTGAAAATCGGTTCAGATATAGCTATAGCTCCCATATATATGTTCCATTCGATTTGGGGTTTAAAGTCCCCCACAATCGTAATATGTACTCCCCAAGAATGATATTTGGTACCAGGAGCTCAATAATACCTCTGTCAGCTATATATCAGGTTTATTGTGCACAAAGTTACTAATATCAGCCCAAACGGACTGAATTTTGACACATCCGACCGAATTAAGTCTAGAAGTAAGATATAGCTTTAGCTCCCATATATTTGTTTCATCCGACTTGGGGTTCTAAGTCCTTCACATGCGCAACATGCACTCCACAACAATGATCTATGGTACCAGATACAGCTCTGAACTAAGTGTTAAAAATTTGTATGTTGCTTCCATATACATCTTCATCCAATTTGTTATTGTCCCCCATATCCAGGGTGAGATGAAAAAACTGTCGCATTGGCCGAAAAATGGCTCGTGAGCTGAACATATCGCAATATTCCATTTGGCAAATATTGAAAAATTAGCTCGGGGTAAAGCCATTGAATTTCCAAGAAGCGCAAGAACTTACAGCGCGAACAGAAAAAACCAGTAAAGAAAGTCTTAAAGTCGGGCGGTGCCGACTTTATGATACCCTTCACCACTTTGCTAATTTAGTAGAGTTCCACATAACAATTAAAAGTTTAAAGTTCAAAGGACTAAATATGCCGAAGTATTTGTATCTTTTAAATTCGGAATTGCATTGCCCATTTGGTGCACAACTAATTGGAAATCGGATAAAGATATATATGGGAGCTAAATCCAAATCTGAACCGATCTCGATAAAATTTGGCAAAGATATTTCTGAGCTGTATTTGATATATTTCCCTGAATATCGTTGTTACAGAGTGCATATTACTGTTGTGGGTAACAAATATAACAAATCGGATGTATAATATATATGGAAACTATAGCTATATCTGAACCGATCTTCACCAAATTTCACATACTAGCTTCTAGACTCAATTCGGTCGTAAGTGCCAAATTCCATCCCATTTGGACAAATATTACACGTTTGGTACACAATAAAACGCAAATAGGACGAAGATATATATGGGAGCTATATCTAAATTTTGACCGATTATCTTCAATTTCAATAGGGTTCGTCCTTGGACCAAACAAATGATTTGTGCAAAATTTCATTTGGATCGGGCAATAAATGCGACCTGTACTTTGTTTACAAAAATATATGGACAGACGTATAGACGGACGGACGGACAGACGGACGGACATGCATAAATCGACTTAGAATGTGATTCTATGCAGATCATCAAACGGAACTATGGGTCAATCTCGTTTCCTTTTGCCTGTTACAAACAGGTGCTTTGCTTGGCCGAAAGTGGTGAACTGCCGAATTCGGTTTTCTTTGATGAGAAAACATTCGTTGTTCAGCAGTTTGTAAACAAACAAAGAGGCCACCAGAACTCCAACGCCGGTCATGGTGATGGTGTGGGCCGCCGATGGTCACTCTTCGCTAGTATTAATCGACCGTGGCATCAGAATAAATGCCAAATATTATCGCGAAAATGTTCTAGAGGGTGTAGTAAAGCCTTGGGCACCAAAGAATGGTTACAAAATGAAGTTCTTCGCTTCATTTCCAGCGCACAATGGCCACCAAAATCTCCGGATACCAATCTGTTGGACTATTGTGTCTGGAGTAGCAAGGTTGGTAATAAAAAATACCAAAGTGTCGATCACCTCAAGCAAGGGCTTCGTCGCGAATGGGTCAAAATGCCGCAGACCAACATTCAGGCAGCGTGTGACGGTTTCATTGGCAGTTTGAAGGCCATAATTCGTGCCAAAGGTGACCAATTCGAACAAATCTAAACTTAGTCTAAAATTTGATGCTATTTTTGACATTTTTTGCTTTCATTCAAAAAAATTTAAAAAAATTCAAAATTATGGCGTTTGACTTTGTTACTGTTTTTTTATCTCATCCTGTATAATACCCTGACCACATTGTGGTGTAGGGTGTAATTAATATGCTCCTATCAAATTGAGGGCATTCATGGACAGAGCAAAAGATCTCGGGTGATAGTCTTAGGTATTAGGAATTCAAATTAGATCCCTACCAATTGGAAAACTTCGAGCGTTACCTCCTTTTACTGGCTAAGTCATCGGTCGGCTTGTTCGTAACATAGCAAAGGACCATAGGGTAAACTAGTATAAATGATTATCCGATATTGATCATTTTCTTCCTTCTTGCATACTTGTATTCCTAATTCTCCGGCATTACGCATGCCCCATAAATTATGGGTATAAAATTCTAAGTCGATTTAACAATGAGCGTCAATATATCCGATTAAATTGAGTTAGACCCCATGCATTCACAACAAGTCTATTCCAACATGTCAATTCCTGACCGAAAAAGTTTGTTTAGACCCTCAGATATAAAATCTGAATGAAATTATTAGTCACTTCTAGTTATTTTTCGTATTCGTAATCAAGGAAATTATTAATTTATTTTAATACATTATTAGAAGATAAGGGAGCATCTGTTGAATTATTTAAATTTAAATCTCAACTATTAATAATAATTTTCAAGATTGACAGTTTCGATTAGAAATCCAAAACATACAAGGAATCTCTTAAAACGAAACGCAATACAATGCGTTCTGTTTCGCATACAACACTTGCACTTTTTCACGGCTAATGGCAAAGTAGATTATTGCAATCAAGGTTGCACTGGCAAATTGACCGATTAATATGGCCGATTCTAAACAACAATAATAACAACAAAGCGATATTTGAAAGAAAATACACAATTGTTGTTTTATGACATCAATGGGATTATTATTATTTTTTTTTCAATCTATTGTTCAAATTTCTTTTCTTTCGGGCTAATCTTTATTGTTTTGCTGCACTATTTGTTGGTGGTAGAGTGTGTGTGTGTGTGTGAATTTGTTGTTTTTAAGGAAATCCCAAAGAACTACCTCCATCTAGGGGGTCACTATTTTACGTTATGTAGTATTTTTTATTTTCATGACGCTATTTGACCCATATCTGATCGAGATAATCAAACATGCGGAGCCATATACTAGCGAATTAATAGCAAAACGCTATTAAGTGTGGCGATAATCAAAGAAAGTCCAGAGATAAAGAAACAAAAACGCATTGCGTTTAGTATAACCTGCGATCATAAAAAACGTAACGCAATAATCCATTCAAAAGAAATTCGGAAAACAGTCGTTTTTATATTCGGACTGCGGCGAATGTGATTAGAATTTGCATTATAGCCCCTCATTTATTTTCTCTTTAGGAAAATGTTCTAACCAGCGGTCATTTGAAATTGGACCGTGGCAAGTGAATGTAACATAATACGCTCCTTAAAAAAAATAATCCGAATATAAATTCTAATAAACGGAAATAGAAAACAAGAAAAAAGTATTTAAAACAAATTTATCTAATATTTAACAAAATGTTCAATAAATTGTATGAATATGTTTTAATATTTTCGGTAATAGTTTCGATTAAAATCAGAATCATAAAAAGCTTGCAAACGGTAAGTTAAAAATATGTATATAAGAAAAATATAAGAAACAATTAAAAATGCTTTTAAAAAAAAATTAATAAATAAAACAAAATGATTTAAATTCGGACAATACGGAAAAAATAATTCAACAAGTTGTGAGATTAAGTTTTTTTTTTTTTGGCGCCCAATCATTATTTTATATTTTCCGTCAGCCACAATAACAGAACTGTCTCAAAAACTTTAAATAAATGTTGCCAACACCTTCGAAATAAAAGTAACGATGACTTAAGCCAGTTAAAAAAGCGTTTAATGTAGTCTCATCTTTAGTCCTTTTAAAGGGAATATGTCAAACTTACACCAATATTTTTTTTCGAGAACACAAAATACCGATTTACGGATTGTTTGGATGAATATGTGGCTAAGACTCTCAAGAGGACCATTATATGAACTCTTTTTTTTTAAAGAAGTTTATACTTTCCTTGCTGAAATCTTCTAAAAGTGAATAAATACTAAAAATATTTACTACCCTTGAAGAGAAAACTTCACTAAATATATAATTTTCAATTAATTATAAATATTTTATTGTCAATCTGATTTCCTGCTTTAATTCTTAAAATATACCTTCTCAGTGACCTTCTGTTTCGTATGGTAAGAATATACAGGGTGAGATAAAAAAACTGCAACAAAGTCAAACGCCATAGTTTTTACATTTTTTTTTAAATTTTATTGAATGAAAGCTAAAATGTCGGAAATTTTAGAATATCGGAAAATGTTAGAATAAGGTTAGGTTTGTTCGAATTGGTCACCTTTGGCATGAATTATGGTCTCCAAACCGTCACCGTCACTCGCTCCACGGCTGTTGCTCTGCGGTATTTTGGCCCATTTCCGGCTAAGCGCTTGCGTGAGGTGATCGACACTTTAGTATTTTTTAGTGCCAACCTTGCTATTCAAAATGCTCCACACATAATACTCCAACGGATTGGTATCCGGAACTTTTGGTGGCCATTATGCGCTGGAAATAAAGCGAGGAACCTCATTTTGTAACCATTCTTGGGTAACGCGTGCTGAGTGCGAATGTGCTGAGTCCTATTGGAAAGTCCAAGGTATATCTGGCTGGAAAACCACAAGTGGCTTTCGTTAGAGCACTCCAGCATTTAAATGTGAATAAATCTTTTGTGTCTCGTACCATCGCTCGTTGCCGTGATACTGGTAGCGAAGTCCAACGTCAAGGAAGTGAACGGAAGAAAACAGCAACATCAGCAAAAATGGTTCGAAAAGTAAAGAAGCGACTTGATCGAAACCCACGTCGCAGTGGCCGAAAAATGGCTCGTGGCAAATATTGAAAAATGAGCTCGGGGTAAAGCCATTGAAATTCCAAAAAGTGCACGAACTTACGTCGCAACAGAAAGAAAATATACTCAAAAGAGCTAAAGAGTTGCTTCGCTTGGCCGAAAATGGTGAATGGTACCATTATAGAAGTTAAATACCATTTTAGAACTTTTCGTAAGCTTAATGCTCGAATATCCAAAATGTCTTTGGTACATCTATCCTGCACTCCATCAGTCAAAGTTCAAATTATTCCGTTCATAGTATTACATTTTTAGTACATTTTTGAACCTTTCGTAAGCTTTTAGTACGAAATTCCAAAACCCAGCCTACCCACCATTACTGACCCTCGTGCAAAATTTCAAGATTTTAGCTTCTGCCGTTTCGTCTGGGCGTTGATTCTAAGCCAGTCAGTTGTTTCACGACTCCTTTATATATACATAATTTTTTTAAATATTCAACTTAACTTCTAAATTTTTGCTGTTATTTTCATCTATTTTAGGAACACTACATTTTAGAACGTGAATACCCATTGGAGAGGCATCGCATTAAAACCGAAGATGGCTACATTTTAACGGTACACCGAATACCGCATTCACCCGAACACTCCCCACACCACATAATACACCCTCAATTTTCTCACCTCAGCGGCGACTACAATCGTTATTTGCCCAGTCGCAAACCAGTCATTCTATTACAACATGGTTTCGGTCTTAGCTCAGAAGGTTGGGTATTGCCAGACCGAGAAATTGCCTTGGCCTATCAACTGGCCGATGCTGGTTTCGATGTGTGGCTGGGTAATCAACGTGGAAATTCGTATTCGCGACAGCACACCCACATCGATACGAAAACGGATGATTTTTGGAATTTTTCATTTCATGAAATTGGCTACTATGACTTGGCGGCAGTTTTTGATTATATGATGGTGAAGACGAATAATTCGGGAGTTCATTATGTGGGATATAGTCAGGGTACCACGTGTCTGTTGGTCTTGTTGGCATCGAGACCGGAATATAGGGAAAAGGTTAAGTCGGCTCATTTGTTGGCACCCGTGGCGTATATGAAAAATATGAAGGTACCTTTGGTCCAGTGGGCAAGTGAAAAAATTCTGCACTATGGAGAGATGTTGGTGAATTTTCTGGGTCATAATGGTGTTATGCGTTATCATCATTTACCGTTCTATCGCACACTTTGTAATTGGGCATGTGGTGAGGGATCGAGTTTGCAGAATGTTTGTCGCATGGTGTTTGCTTATTTCGGTGGCCCAGGCATGGGTAATATTAAACAGGTAAGGTTCTTGTGAGAATATCCACGAGTTTTAAAAAAACCAATAGTCTTTAAAAGTATTAAAAAGAAAATCCACAAATCCTGATGGTCCTTAAAAATGTTTAAAAAATTCAACTTCAAGAAGTAATAGTCTTTAAAAATATTTTTTTAATTCCACGACTCCTTTAATATATTTTTAAAAAAACTATTTGCCTTTAAAGTTGTTTTTAACAAAATAAACGAGTCCTTTTAAAAAAATCTTGGAGTCCTTAAAAATATTTTTTTAAAAATCCATGAGTCCTTGAAAATATTTTTAAAAAAATCCATGAGGCCTTAAAAATATTTTTTTAAAAATACACGAGCCCTAAAAAAATTAAAAAAATCATGAGCCCTTAAAAATAGTTAAAGAAAAATTCACGAGTCCTTAAAAATATTTTTTTAAATACACGAGTCCTAATAGTCCTTAATCATATTTTTTATAGTCCTTAAAATTATTTTTTAAAAAATCCACATGTCCTTATAATCCTTCAAAATATATTTAAAATAATCCACGAGTGTTAATAGTCCCTAAAAATATTTTTTAAAGAATCCACGAGTGTTAATAGTCCCTAAAAATATTTTTTAAAGAATCCACGAGTGTTAATAGTCCCTAAAAATATTTTTTAAAGAATCCACGAGTGTTAATAGTCCCTAAAAATATTTTTAAAAGAATCCACGAGTGTTAATAGTCCCTAAAGATATTTTTTAAAGAATCCACGAGTGTTAATAGTCCCTAAAAATATTTTTTAAAGAATTCACGTGTGTCAATAGTTCCTAAAAATATTTTTTAAAGAATCCACGAGTGTTAATAGTCCCTAAAAATATTTCTTAAAAAATCCACGAGTCCTGATAGTCGTTTAAAAATATTTTTTAAAAAATCTACGAGTTTTGGTAGTCCTTTAAAAATATTTTTAAAAAGATCTACGAGTCTTGATAGTCTTTTAAAAATATTTTTTAAAAAATCTACGAGTCTTGGTAGTCTTATAAAAATATCTTTTTTATAAATCGACAAGTCTTGGTAGTCCTTTAAAAATAGTTTTTTAAATTCACTAGTATTGATAGTCTCTAAAAACTTTTTTTAAAGAATCCACGAGTCTTAATAGTCTTTTAAAAATATTTTTTTAATTCACGAGTATTGATAGTCCCTAAAAATATTTTTTAAAACAATCCAAGAGTCTTGACAGTCTTTAAATATAATTAAAAAAAAATCCACAAGTCCTAATAGACCTTCAAAATATATTTTTTTTACAAATCCACGAGCATTGGTAGTCTTTAAATATATTTTTTTAAGAAAATCCACGAGTCCTAATAGTCCTTAAAAATATTTTTTTTAAATCCTCGAGTCCTAATAGTCCTTAAAAATAATTTTTAAAAAATCCACGAGTCTTTATAGTCCCTAAAAATATTTTTTAAAAAATCCACGATTCTTGATAGTCTTAAAATATATTTTAAAAAAATCCGCGAATACTAATAGTCCTTCAAAATATATTTTTTAACAAATCTACGAGCATTGATAGTCTTTAAATATATTTTTTAACAAATCTACGAGCATTGATAGTCTTTAAATATATTTTTAAGAGAATCCACGAGTTCTAATAGTCTATAAAATATATTTTCAAGACAATCCACGAGTCCTAATAGCCCTTAAAAAATATATTTTTTTAAAAATCCTTAAAGTCCTTAGAAATATTTTTTAAAAAATCAATGAGTACTTAAAGCCCTTAAAAATAATTTTTTATATTAACGAGTCTGGATAGTCCTTAAAAATATTTTTAACATATCCACGAGTTTTACATATTTTTACATATTTTTAAAAAGCCACCTGTGCGTATTAGTACTGCCAACATGTATACGTCAAGATGTGCCACCAATATTTTCTTATATCTCATAGCTTTAGTGAATTTTCTTCATGTGATACAAAACGATTTTCACCAACAATGTAATGACTTTCTTCCATTTTCTCTTTTTCCCCCACAGTCCGTCCTATCCGATGTCTGTGCCGCCCAGCCGGCTGGTGCCTCCATCAAACAAATTCTCCACTTCATACAAGTCTATGTAAAGGGTAAATTCCAACAATATGACTACGGACAGCAACACAACCAGCTGCACTACAAACAATCAACGCCACCCGCTTATGATATTAGCAGCATTACGAACTGTGTCCATCTGTATTACGGGGTAACCGATCATTTGGCTGACGGCGAAGATGTCCAGAGATTAGCCAAACGCTTGCCCTGTGCCGTTGTACAGCCCATCAGCGATGATGATGATAAATGGAATCATTACGATTTCTTGTGGTCCAAGGATGCTAAGGAGTTAATAAACGAACGCATCATTCGGGTGGTAAGGGAGAGTGAAAGTAAATAAGGCTATGGAGTGATGGTGTGGTGCCCTTTTTCTTTGGTGATATTATATTTTAAGAATGCCTAGTAGAAGTATTTTGTATTATGCGGCCTCAACCCCCCTCTCAAGATGACTGATATATATTAAGTGTTTTTTTTAGCATTATGTCTAAGTTGTTGTTATGTGTAGAAAAATAAATTCATAGTTTTTTTTTTTTATAAATAATCCAAATTACGTGTTTTTCTGTAATGACCTTGTTTTTGGCGAAAGGATGCAAAACATCTGCCTTGAGTGAGTGTCTGTTGGTATGCGTTTGTATGTGTGTCTTACAAAAAGTGTTGCGTTTTTTTTATTGGAAAATGAAGTGTTCCCAGCAAGCATCTCATAACCTTGACTTTATAAATCAAAATCAAGTTTTTCTTTACCAAAAAATGCTTACACATAATACGCTTTAGTTTCGGTGCAAAAAAAAAAAGAAGGAGAACTGAGAATGATGTAAACAGTGGTTTTGAATCATGTAAAAGGGGTGTAATTTTTGGTGGAACATAAGCACAGAACAGTATTGGCTTTTAACAAAATACTATGGTATCCCGAACACTTCAATATATGTGTTTTATTCAAAACGGATATTTTTATGACTGGATAGTAAAGAAATTATGAAATGAAATTTGACTTGAATAAATATTTTTATTTTTGAGAAAATGGTTTAAAAGAGTTCAAAGCCTATGACAGTATATGCATACAAATCTTTGATCAAATATATATTATATATTCTTCCTTTTGGTGAATCTATTAAATTATTACCATGCATAAAGGTAGGAAAAAAGAAGAACTGAGACGAATTATGATATTATTAACTTGAAATATTTTTACAATCTAAAGTATAGAAATGAGACAAACTCCATATTCAAATTTGGCTCTGGTTAAACCAAAAATGAAAAGTTTTGACTCTATGTTAGGGAGATCAAAGAAGAGGTAGATGAAGAAGCCCACGTCATTATATATAAATGTTAATCCGAATCGTGAATTGCTAACTATCGGATTTCCACCAAAGAGAAAAATACGTTTTTAGTCCATAACCGACGTTGTTGTTGTAGCAGTAGTACATGTATGTGTTTGCATTTTGCTAATGTGGTTCAAGCTCCAGGTTTAAAAATTCGGCTTCTTTAATGGGATGTAGCCAGAGTTCTTCGTGAGTGAGTTGGGTAGGTTTGGCTGTACAATTGTGCAGCGTATTGTGCGGGCCTGTATTACACGCCGAGCAGACGTCACGCACATCTTCGTCAATTCGTGCCCAATACGAATTGAGACGACTACACCATCCTGAACGTAATTGCGCCAAAACTACACTGGTTTATCTAGGTAGCTGGTGCAAGCAGGTACAGCAACGAAAAAATATGATTATGCTGACGTAAGGGAAGGACTTTCGCCTCTTGGGGTCATGAGAATTCTCAGGGCAGCATTCTGGCAAGTCTGGATGTGTTTGGAAAAGAGTGTGGCCGTTGATTTTGTGGCGGATATTTTCATATTACTCGCGTGGAAGTATGCGGCAAGCTCCGCGAGATAGGGGTTCAGCCTTTCGCATATATCATCGACCTCTGGGCCGATGCCATGATCGTCGAGGGGGAGAAATTTCGGAAAGGTAGAGGTTAAACAGTTCCGGATATATTAACCCAATTTGGGAAACTCCCTGTTTCAATCTGCTGGCTTTGGATTTCTTGTTCCGTAATTCCACATACGACTGGCGTACACACATATAGTTGAATATTCAACATCTCAAACTTGGCCGGAGAGTGGTTTTCTGCACGTCCTCAAACAGTATGCCATGATTGAACGTATCAAATGGCTTTGATAGGTCAAGCGCTACCAACACTGTTCTGTCACACGGCTTGTTCTGGTTAAATCCTAAACTAATATGTGTGGAAATGGCGTGAAATGTTGTTGTGGTATTATGTTGTGGACGGAATCCGTGCTAATGGTTGGCAACTGGATAGCTTCCTCTAATGCTGGGGAGGAGTACAGCCTCAAGAGTCTTAGTTACTGGCGACAAAATCGAAATCGGGCTGTACGATTCGCACTTACTGGCTTCAGTAGCGGGACAACCCGGCTCATTTTCCAGGCTTCGGGTACTATGTGGGTGGCTAGCGACAGGTTGAGAACTTTCGTTAGGTACTCGACTCCCTGTTTCAGCATTTTCAGTGAGTCTGGCCCCAACCCTTTGGATGACTTAGCGTTCCGGATGACTTTGCAACATCACCCAACGTAAACTGTGGTGTTTCCTCTCGGCGGGAAGAGATCAGATGCGACGTAGTACTCTTCCTTTCGCCATGCCACTCTAAGGATGCTCGACAAGTTGTCGGTTAAAATACTCAGCGCACCACTTCGGATCACTCACTGGCATCCTTTTTTTCAGGGTTAGAGAGCGACTTAACCGTTAGCTACAGCGTACTCATTTTGGTTCCAATGTAGCAACACTTCAGATGGTCTAGCCACTTTATCCTCTTATGCTCCTGTACTAACCGGTTGACTTCCACTGTCAAATCACTGATTCTAGGACCAGTAGGGTTGGTACGACGGAGATCGTCACGCTCCTTTGCTAATCCCGCTGCCTCTGCTGGGATTTTCGGTCGGGTATTCGACCAGCAAGTATATAGCGAGCGGGTGCAGCTTTGATGATATTTCGAAAAATCCTTTCTGCTACCTGGTCATCAGAAGGGTTGTGCAGTTCTCTAAAGCGGCGGTTGGTGAATTCTCTGAACTCTGACCAGTAAGCTTTCCCATGGTTTAGGAAATTACGGCGTTCAGAGGTTATGAAATCGAGCGACCTGCTTCTGGAGACGATTATCGGGAAATGGTTTGAGCCAAGATAAATGACGGGTTGCCAAGTCACGTCATCTATCAGACCGGGAGACACAATGGTTAAGTTTGGCGAACTGTGTGACACTCTCCTATTCGGTTGGGGGCATCCTCGTTAACCGTGCAGAATGTGGAGCAGTCAATCTGCTCTGCCAGCGCTGATCCTCTCTGGTTATTACCTAGGACGAATTGGCATAACTCATGGTGGACATTAAAATCCCCTAGTACCACGCGGTTATTGCCTACCAACAATGGGATATACACATTAAGCTCCTCTACCTTGGCAGTTCCATACTTGACTGCTAACTGCATACATTCCATGTATGGGTCACTAGAGACTGGCTCAAGCGAGAGAGGTCTGTACTGAACAGAATGGTACGCTAATCCCCCACATCCACTTCTGTTGCGATCCTTAGTACGTTGTAGGCTGTAATTTTCATTCAGCTTGATTTCCTGCACCGATGCGATCATAAATTCCACTATCTCATCTATATTGCTTCGGAGTCCGTTGCAATTGAATTGCAAGAACGATGCACAATTCAGAGCTGGAACAACAACATGCGGCGTTTGATGCTGCGGCGTTGGTTTCCGTTCTGGAGACTGTGGTGGAGTTCCATACTCCGACGACGTCTCTGGTGAGGACGAAGAAGAAGTGGACTCGCGGGAGACTACGCTACTGCAGCACGTCGCAACATAATCCCTTTCGCTGTAGTCTCGCAAACGCCTTAGTCCAGAACAGTTCGGCACGGACAAAGTCTGGAAGCAGCATTCCATGATAAGCTGCTCCCAATGCAGAAAAAGTAAACATGTACATACTGGGTTGGCAGCCGCTGGTCGAAACTGGTATGTTTTTGTTTCGGGTCAATCCGGTATCATAGAACCCGCTTTCGTGGGGCCGACGTAGAGTTTAAGGCTGAGTGTATTTCATTAAAGGGGTATATTAAAGATCCGATCTTAGTTAAATGATAATATGGCAGGGTATGCACACACAATATTATCCACATTTGTGGGAGAATAACCACAAAAAGGCAATATAGGGAACTCCTCCCGCTATATTGCAGATATACGATTATTTAAGTTATTTTATCTCTTGAAGGAGGTCCCAGAAGGAGGCACTTACTAAATTTTTTTTGGAAGGTACCAAGGGGATTTTGAAGATATTGTCCATTGAACTTTTATACAGATGTAAATATTACGATATATTGGATGTTCCTATCACTATTCATAAAAAATATGATTTTTTGAATATTTTAAAAATTAAAGAGACAAGAGGCTTTTAAAAATATTTCGAACAATTGTAGAACACATTTTCGAAACCACCTTCATATATCTAGGCGCACATGAACAGCGATCCTAATATCAAATTTCAGGACACTTCGTTCACTTAGTACATATTTACCACCTTCATGTATCAAACTTACTTTCCACACCTTTATTCTCATACCAGAATTCAAGGTTTTAGCTCTATCTGTTCATGTAATACCAAATGGTAAAATTTTTGAAGTTTATTACCATTTTAGAACTTTCCCACCAGTGACTCTCATTCCGATTTCTGAATTTTATCTCATTCCGTATGTTTAATACAAAAATATTAAATTTTTAGTACATTTTAGTACTTTTCGTACACTTTAAATGTCCATCAATTCTGAATCTCATGAAAAATTTCAAGATTTTGGACGTTTCGCCTGGGCTGTGATTCTCGGTCAGTCAATCAGTTATTTTCGCTTAAGATATATTTTTTATGAATCAAAACTTTAAAAGTTCGCGATGGCGGAGTATTTTTGTCGCGTTTTTTAAAGTTTATTTTTCTAATTCTTTGAAATAGTTTGTATTTTTTGTTTTGCTTCTGCTCTTTGTCCTCGCCAAAGGAAGGGAAACTTTTTTGTTATCGATGTTTGTGCATGTGTGGCATTGTGTGTGGTTGGTGGTAAAAGTTCAAGACCATATCAGGTTCTACCCTCTATCCGCCGTCATTGATGATGTTTGAAATTTTGACAATTTCGTTTTCTGTTCAGTTTTGGGTTTTTGTGTTTCGAAGGTGGAAGATGGAAGAAACGGTGCCAAAAAATATAGTTGTTGCTTTGCCGTGATGTGTCAGCTGTTGTGTCGTGCCGCTTTCCATGGAAAGGAGGTTGCTTTGTTCTCTGTTTGGGTTGGTGGTTGGATGGTTGGTTGGTTGGTTGGTTGTTCGACGCCATATTACCTAATGTTGCACTTTGTAATTGCATGGCACGTTGCAAAAGATGATGACGACGATGATGGCGATGTTGTCTTCATTGTTGCTGTCGTCTTTAGTGGTTGTGCCGGCATTGTTATTGTTGGCTCTAGATGTTGCCTGTCAGTCAGTCAGCCAGCC